GCTCTAAGGTCTGCAGGAAATAAAACGAAACTAAACAATTAGAGACATACTGAAACATGAAAAATCAACATTAGAAATGACGTAAACAAAATCCATTCCATGATACAGTCTTTTAAGAAGATTAGACAATGTAGGGTAGCCATAGAGGGTATGGAAGTTCCCGTGAAAAGAAGGTCTAAAGGTAGACCAAGAATGAAGTAGGAGGTGCAAGTTAGAGTAATTATGAGGACGAGAGGGGTATAGATGAAGATCATAAAGATCGAAAGAATATTATATAGCGGATATTAGATAGCGCACCGCAAATCTGGCACTGGGCATCAACATATGTCACTACACTAACTCCAACTGGGAGATCCTAGGTTCGTGCCTCGGTGGTAGCAGGATTATCGATACTACCTTGTCAGCTAGGTCGAATGCAGTCGCTGTCTGGAGGAGAATTCTAGTGACTGGCTGCCGTGATCGGTATTTTTACGTGGTTTCTCTGATCAACACCAGGCGAATGCAGGAGCAGTCCCCTAACAAACGGGCCTATGAGCGCACGCGGTATTTCCTTCCCATTCCTTGTTCTATCCTCACCCCTTACACACACAAACACACTCACCAATGCATTACACTACCACGCATGCCAGGGGTCTGGTCGGGAGCTTAGAGTTTCTCCCGAGTGGGACGGTGCCTCTCTGATGGGAGATACCTGGTTGGAGAAAATCCGCAATCTAGCGGTAGTTCGGCGCCGGATCTCGCCATACAGCAGAGGAAGATAATAACAAACTACGGTGATAAAACCATGCACAATACTGACGTGACTAATCACTACAGCAGTTGACTCGTCTAGAATCACTAATCAATCAATTCAATCAAGTATAAAACTGGTTAACTATAGCAAGATTACCTCATTTGCCCAGACTCTTTCATTGAAAGGAAAAATCACAAAATTTGATTGAGTTTTTTCCATCGTCCTATTGTTTCATAAACGGCAATTAGGTGGCCCATGATGGGTTTTCTTGGGAGAATATACTCAGAGTGGTTTCCTGTCGCGGGGAATTTAGAGGGAAATGAGCTAACCCTTACCCACTTGATTGAGTAGAAAGCTCAAATTTTCTTCTAAACAAATAACCCTTACCGTTTTAAATATATGTTGGTATAAGACCTCTTCGTTCCTTAGGCCGTTGCTTCCGTTCCTTAGTTCGCTCCTCCCCGTTTTTATGCCGTTTCCGCCCGTCCCGCAGGCCCTGGGGTGCGCCAGGTCGCGCCCTCCGCCGCCGCGTGTGCCCTCAGCCGGCGGTGAAGGCACATCGCTCCGTGACTAACGCAGGGGGCTGAGAGCGATCGATGGGGGCGTGCAGTCACGCGGCCGAACGCCTTGCAGCGTGGATGGTGAAAAAATAATTATGACAATTCATGGGGTGAAATTATTTGTAATAATACTCTACGGATATACAGGACATTTCACTGGCTGAGATGGTTCAGGGAAACAGTCGTTATCAGTGCAGGCTTTCACTGGAAGGGTCTAGGGTTCGAATCCTGACGATGGTAGAATTTTCAACACTACTAAATATATAGATCAAGTTCAGATCCTGCGGCAGTTGAGGTCAAGCGGCTAGCCGCTCTGGTCGGTAGTTTTTCATGGTTTCTACGACCAACACCAGGCGAATGCCGGATTAGCACCCTAAAAAACGGGCCACGGACCGCGCGCGATTTTTCTTTCCTCCTCCTTGTTTTATTCTCTCTCATTACACTCATACACTCGTAGTTGCATGAAACACTACCACAGATGCCCAGAAACAAAATCCTGAGTAGGCGGAGATACTTAGACGGGGAAACCCCGCATGCTGACGCACCTGCCGCACGTTCCAGTGTGCTATAAATACTTCCACCTCCCGGAATACGCGCACGATATATACGGAAATAATGATTGTTGCAGTTGATGCTCCCGCAAACCCATAATTATTATTTTTTTTACAATACTCAGCATCTTGTGTAACTACAAAACTTAAGGCTTATAAATAGTTCTCTAAAAGAGCATTAATATGATTCGGTGTCGGGGTGGGCGCATGTTGATGCAGTGTAACCTCTACAGCGCTAAAGGATTCGACTCCCAGGAATATAATAATAATAATAATAATAATAATAATAATAATGATAATAATAATAATGATAATAATAATAATAATAATAACAATAATAATAATTAGGAGGTGGATTTTAGTGCAATTTACTTTTGTTTTCACTTTAGAACAATGCTTTTTTGTGTAGACATTAATTTTGTTATGATGAAAGGAAATGACCAATTTGCATATGACTTTTTTGCATTTTTCGTTGATTTCTACTAATAAATACGTATTTTTTACCTTTTACATTCATACATGTCATTTTAAAGCATTTTCGCGTATTTCATCGATTTCAATATTTATTGGTACTTGTTTCAAAAATATTTATGAGATTCAACAAATATTCTCCACAAATGTCCTCCAATTCTTGAGTACAATATCTGAGCAAAAAAAGTGAATGAGCTAATGTAATTGTATGTAATCTAAAGACGCCTGTCAGGGCCATTGTTAGCTCTGCTGATTTGGGGATAACTAAGAATAGAGATTTTCTGGTAAAGAACAGTTAAAACCAAAAGTTTGCCAGATGAATTCACTTGAACGAAATGAAGAAGCCTTGATTACATCAGTAACAGCTTCAGTTCTTCACCTGAACTGGTGAAATTTTGTACATTTTTCTTTGCTTTTAGAGCAATTTAAAAACATTTGAAAGACATTTTATTGATTATTTTTCGCGATGTTGTAGGTCATCAAAGCCCTCCCCCTAATAATAATATTTTCAGCACATGCATGCGTTAGTATCTTATTAAAAATACTAATTAATCAATAAATGGTTATGTATCACCTGTTTGTTGATTATTTCTGTACATTTTTTTAATTTCCGCGTGGAGACAAAGGAAGTGTCGGCTCCCGTAATGTTACCTCGCAGTGCCAATATATGCATGTTGCGGGCCATACTGTGTTGCGGGCTCAGATTTTTTAAAATGCGCTGATTTGTAAACGCGATGACGGATGACAAACTCTTGACATCAGATAAAACATCTTCTGCTGCTACCACTTTCAACAATTAGCTTTCGTTCGCATTTTTGAACAAAATCTTGGAGGCGACGTCGTTTTTCAAGAAATCGGTGGCGCCTGTATGAAGTTTGGGTTCATGTCGCCTCCCGGAGTGCTTGATCTCACCTGCGCCCTATGAGCGGAATGGAGTAGTCATTCAGTGACATATTTAATTTCGACGATTTTCTTTGATATGCGCTTCTTATGTGATTTTCTCTGATATGAAGGGGATTTTTACCTTCTCCTATCAATCCATGAATAGTAGAGAGGGTTAACTCCATCTAGGTTCTATAAGTCCATAAAATGTAGAGATAGTTGCATAATGCTGCAGGAATTCTTCTTCGAGATTTCAACGGAAATACAGATTTTGGGGTCTCCCGATACCAAACAATAGTATTTTACCAACATGTTCGTCTGCCGGTGTGTCTATCCATACGTCGGTGAACAACACTATCGCCTTAAATATTTGTACAAATCATAAATTCTGTCATAGAGATTTTACCTTAGGCCTTTCTACTTGAAATGGCGGCTACCCGCATGGCACTTGTGAGTCTTTTGCATGCGTACCTCGCAGGAGACGGAGGCGTTTCTTGAGACAGCCCAGCCGCGACCTTTTAGGCCCAGAGTGCGTTCACTAAACGAACACTAAAGTGCTTTCCTTGATCTCTACCAATCTTCTGCGTTTGTTCACATTTTTTGGGAATTTCTGAACACACTAACGTGTTAGGCGTACTAGATAATAATAATAAAGATGAAACACAACCTCTAAGAATTTACTCCCAAAGACTTCAAGATGAAGCCGCATGAACATGAAATGCTTAATTTATATTCATTAGTTACATAAAATTTTCGTTACTAATAGAATTATTTTCTCAAAGTGCTTATTTTATTTTATCATGAATATATTTAAGAATTGAAGATGAATGAGATTTGAAAAGTTACAATGCGGAATCAATTTCTGCCTAGGTCAGACATTACCTACCAATACTGAAACAGAAACAAGCTCCTACCTTGCAGGGTGATTGACGCGTTTAGCCGTCATTTCTCTGGAATTACTGACAGAAAGTTGCTTCCCCTCATCTTGTCCCCTATGTTTGTGCATCTTCTCCCCGCTTCATAATGAATTTCCATGTTTGAAAGTGCGAGTATTTCACTCTTTCAAAAAACGATGTTCACATTTACGTCTGACATAGCGTGTCTTAATAGGGCGCTGCAAGCCCTCTGAATGGGCAAGAGTGGACCTGCAACATTGCATTTATTACACATAAGCTGTATAAAAGGACAGTATCAGGAGTTGTACGTCTCACTTTTAGGCGACAAGCTTTCGGGTAAAAAAGTTAGGACTCTTTAAGTTCCAAAGAAAATAAATTCCAGCTCTGGAACGACGCCTTTGAATATTGATTAGGCGATTGAAATATCGGAAAGTAAATAGAATATTTGGGAGTAACTAGAATATTTGGGAGAGCCGAAATAGTGAAATGTACATGTGCAACTGGACATAAAAGAAGGATATTTGTTATTTAAATGTGAAGAAGGTAAACGTAAGTAAAATTGTTGAAAATTGTTAAATTAATTAAAAGTTCAATTGTTACTTTCAATTTACAAATAATATTGTGAACATTTTCTTGTTATTATTAGCAATAAATGTTAACTTTTCTTTCGTAATTGAAAATGTTTTATTTAATATTTTAGTATGTTACAGTATTCAGGTATATGGTGTATGCAATACAATCATTCCCCCTAATTAAATAATTAAATTGATATCGTTCCACTTTGTAAATTTATTAATGGAGAAGAAAAACCCATCTCAGAACTTCCGACTTCTCTGGTATTTCAGCGGGATCATAGCCGCAAAGTGGGCGAGTGTGAGTTTGAGCGGCGGGCGTCTATGCGTTGCAGGGCTTCCGCGGCCGCGACGGCCTGCTGCTGCCGCTGCTGCTGTTGGCTGCCCTGGCGGCGCTGGCGCTCCTGGCGGCGGGCGCGTGCATCGCGCTCCGCAGGCGACGCGCATCGCAGCTGCGCCGGCAGGCCATCGGGGTGAGATTGATCAGTTCATTGATGCGTTGATTTATTGATTCTTCGATTCATTGATACGCCGATTTTCTTTATTTGTTGTTTCTCTGAATCAATGATTCATTATGTTTAGTTAGATTGCTATTTGGTTACTTACAAGAGAATGCTGAACTTTTTCATGTGGAAGTGCAACTGACCTTTTTTCACTTGAAGTAAATATTGTTTGTACATACATTTCAGCTGCCAAATTTGTACGGAAGCATTTTTTTAAATATAAAAGCTGGTGATTTTTCGTTCAGCACATCAGTCAAAATTCTAGGCAACCCTTAGCACGGATGCGTCAGTTCCGTGTGAAACAACGGCCCGGCTCACCTACGTGGGTCGAGGGTCGGGGGTCTCGGACGTACTGAAATGCGATCGACAGGAAAGTTCGAAACACCCAAAGCAGAAGCGATTGGGAGACTTTTCTTACGAACGGCTGCAGTGTGTGTGTGTTACTAACTGTAGTTCTATGTGAAACCCTCTGAACGTTTTGCATCTTGCCTTGCAAGTGTATGAAGATAGGAAATTGCCTGCTTCATCAATTAGTCGTGAACTTTACCTAATGTGCGACCCTATTGTGAATGTTTTGGATAAACATTCAAGGGAAGAAACTGATGCAGTGGAAGCAATTGATACCCTCGACTTAAATCAAAAATGAAGACATGTGCGATGATGAAAATATTTAGAATGAATTGAAAGACGAAAGGTGTCAAAGTGGTTCGAAGCATCATCCATCTCCGCAGAAGCCAAATGTCGCAGAGAGGAAGGAAGCAGTTGCCTACTGGATGAATGAAGGCGGAAAAAACGAGGTAGTTTACGTTCTGAACAAAAAACTTGCGCTTTGTTAATCAGAACGGGAAATATTCAGGTGGAAAAATGAATTAACTGAAATTCAAAACGAAAAAATAAGTTCATTGCGTAGCGAACCGCTTGATAACTGTTTTACTGAAGCCCGAGAGAAAGGGTTCAGTATAAGCGACAATCAGCTGCGATCGACTGCGACTTTGCTTCTGAATTGGGTCTAACAAGGTTCAATGCATATGCTAGTTAGATTACCGGTTTTAAATAACTAAATAGAATTGGATCAAGAAAAATTTTGAAATTCGTTTTTAAAAAGCATTTGGAGAGAGACATTTTGCCCCAAAACATTATTAAGAAATTTTAGACGGCTGCAAAAATTAAGATATCAGAGAATCGTGATGCAGCTGTTTACAATGCCGATAAATATGGATTTGAAAAAGAAATGTGCTCAAAACGAACCCTGTCTCTCATGAAAAACACACCAAATCATTCGCGCAATTTGTCAGCTTTAACTCATTCGCATACAATGATGCCTGTGTAAGTTTGGCTGAGACACTTCTATCACCACGCTATGTATGTCAGCAGGAAGCAAACGGATAATTCGGGCAGTGTGTGATAAGCTCAATGTTCAGCTCCGAAAATCTCGCAGTAGTCTGTTCTTCATCCGGGAAAATGGGAAAAAGAAATGTCACATTATAGCAAATGTTGTTTTCTCTTCATGCGAGAAAATATATCTTCTTTTGTGAGACCTGTGGTCTGGCCACAGTAATATTGAACGTTTGGATGCTTACAATAAAATTGCATCAAATATACAAATTCTGAAAATTCCGGCTGGAACTACAAGTTTCATACAACCTTTGGATAAAGAATTTTTTCGACAATGGAAATTTCTTTATCGCAAAATTACAGAGGAAATAATAGCTTTGCGGCGAAAAGATTATCACAATACCAAAGGGATAGCTTTTTTTTAATTAAAATCATTCATCCATTACCAATTTTTTTCTCCAAGATATAAGAACCTGATTAGATATGCATGGTACGCCAATGAAAGGCTTGCATCCTTTGTGACACTTGCACAATATTGTTGCCATATTACGGAACCAACATCAGAAATTTGATTACGCGAATCATCTTCTTCTACTGTATGTTCGTGGTGCAAGAAAAATGTATGTTTCAATTGCTGAACTATTGAGTCACATTTTTGTTAAACATAAAGTGAATGAAGTTTTTATTTTGAAAGGAATAAGAAGTGGACAATATTGCCGTGCTCATTCGCAAGACACCACTGAAACCATCTGCAAACTTTCGGCCTCAGGCGACGAAACACAAGTTTCCTGCCCACGTTGGCGATCACGTGGCTGCTGGAGGGAGGCGCTGCAATACAGACCGACGCGCGGCCGCCCTTGAAACATACGTGTTCGAGGGATATATATTCACATATTTGAAGAGGGGAAAACATTGCCAAAAACACACAACTTTATTATTTTTTAAATACTTCCAGGAAAATTTGGCAGTTAAAATCTTGTATGTAGCATTTCTGACACTAACTTTATGTAGAAAAATAATGAGGTAAGGCTTCGACATGACAAAGTTTGGCATTCCCTTGTTAGTTAGCGTTGGTTAGTTTGTTAGTGACGATTGGAAGGCAAATCTCCATGTATTGGTGTTTGACTTCACGAAATACTTTAACTGCGTCCAAACGTGGCCCGCTAAACACAATGCAGTAGTCTCTCGATTAGGAGAAAATGTCACACAAGTAAAGATATTTGAAATTTCCCACCCCATGCAAATAGGTAAAAAGTGATTATTTGAACCCCTTTACACGACCTAAACGTTAGTAACATTTATTATGAGATAGACTGTAGTTAATACGGGTATTATTTAAGAATTGTTGATGGTATTATTTAAGAACTGAACAATAATGGACACTGTCTCTAAACAGTTACCAATGACTTTTCGGAAATAAATTTCTCAATCGCGTAGGTAAGCTGTCACTCATCGATTTCACGTCAGGGGAGATTCATTGTACTCTGATTGGCTGAGCTGTGTTCCATAACACGCCCAGACTTACTCAATGTTCCTAATGTTTGTTGGGAAACAAGGTACGGAACTTTTTTGGTGAAACAGTTCCGAAACAAACAAGAAGCGAAGTTGAGCTGTTGGCAACATCGGTAACACTGTTCCGAAACACTAGTTTACATGTCTCGACTAGCCGTAAGTGAAAACTTTCAGAAAATGTCTTGAGAAAGGTGTAAGTCATGAATAAGGGAGGATTTTGAGAAGATCTCCGAGAGCAAAATACGTCCTGATATTCTCTCAAGAAAACTGAGATAGGAATGCAAACTTCATATTTTTACTCGGATAAATTATCTGTAAAAATATATTGCTGTCGAAATTACGGAAATGAGACACTACTAAGTCTATAGACCATTTTACTATCAACGCCATGAAATCATTATACCTTATTCAGATAATTTAAGAATAAATGTTACCAACTTCTAGGCCATGTAGGAGATTCGAAAATACGACATTTTGGTAATTTATTTATATTGAACAATTTCATGTAACTGAAGTGCTCGATATTTGTTCTTGAATGTTACGCAACCCCGTATGTAAATAGTTGTTCAATAGGTACATGAAATCACCTTGACTGCGTCAGAACCTGACCTGCACAACACCTGTGCGCAGGATGCTGCCCTTGAATCAGGGGAAATGTCATATGAGGAGCAGCCATTCAAAATGTGACACGTCCACTTTACACTTTTCCAATAAAAATGAAAAATATAGCACAAATTTTACACTATTCATCACGGTATTTAACTGATCAAAACAGTACTACATAATGTATCGTAAAACATCCCACCTTTTATTAATAAAATTCTTTGTAAAAACAACAGAACAACTCAATTTTTGCCAAATGGACATGTCACCACTTGAATGTTTGCTCCTCATATGTGTCACTCCATTTCATGAAATCACCCACTGCATATTTAATGACAAAATTGATTCTCTTCTGTCTTGATACATTCCTTAGACGTTTGTGACATTTATTCAGACAACTCTGTAGGAGATGGTTATACTATATAGGCCACGTTTTGAGAAACATGTCTTCCTAATTAATATCCAAAACAGGAGGCCAGCTAAGATAGCCGAGATCGCTAGAGCAGAAGTGACGTAGTGATCTCGGACGAGAAGAGCATGTGTTCGAGTCTCTCCTAGGGCATGGGTACATTGTGTATGTCTAATGTGTTTGCCTTCCTTTCATCCCATACCATCACCATCACCATCATCTCATTGCTCATACCCCCAGGGCTAACAACCTTGGGGGTAATAATCGGAATTCAGATGAAATGCCTTTTACGTGCTACCAAGCCAATGTCAGGACCTCTTCAGAGAAATGTGGCGATATCCGAGACCACCTGTAACGTGTGTCTGGCGAGCTTATTTTGATACTTACTTCCCATTCGTTCTCTTTTTTTCAGGGAGTCTGGTTTTGTACCATACAAATGTCCCAGTATCTTTATTTCAAATTTTGAGCTGAATTTCATGTAGGGTAAACTCGTATTATCAGCAATTATTGTTGAATCCATCATAAGTTACAAGTACCTGTCAGTAAATGCGATTGACTAATCTTTTAATTGCAAAAAAGTATTTGGTTAAATTATGCTGTGGGAGATGACGCTTCTCTAATACGAAACTTTCCATTATTAACCTATATGAACCTGGACAGTGAAAGCTTAGTGATGAAGTTCTATTGTGCTTTATCCTGACAAGTCTGTTTTATCTCTCTTCTACTCTACCCATTTTTACTAGTTTGATATATTTCTGCCTTTCTTATCCCTTCATCCTTTCAGATTAATTTCTCATCATCTTTCATTTCTTTTTCCTTTATTTTCTGCGTCCGTTGTGCACCTTGCTCCTTTCCGATGCCGTCTTGTTAATTGTTTCTGCTGTTTCTGCGTGGACGTATTTGCCGCTAAGTTGGCTTCCCGTGTGCCTAGGAGATGTCGTCCGACCTGCAGAGCGAGGACAAGAGCACGCTGCTGCTGCCTGACGGCTCCGAGGAGGACTAGCGCCAGGAACAGGTATGCGCGACCCCACGTCCGCTGGCCAGCTCTCGTATGTTTTTTTACAAGAGTCAAACAAGTGGGTAGAAAACAGTAGTGTGTTAGCTTTTTAAAGGACTTGTCCTCTATCCAATTGGTCACACTAAAGACAAGCTTGAAGAAACTGATGTCAGTTTCAAAATAAGATTTATTAGAGCACATGTTCTTATTTTCCGTACCTCACTAGTAACAGCTGTACTAAATTTCGTAATAAGTATTATTAGAACACAAATGTTTCCATAATGTCATAGTATAAAAATACTACGGGGTAGCTTGAAAACGTATGTACGTTTGTGTTACATCCTGTATCCACATTGTTTACAAAGAAATTAGAAGAAGGGACCAATATAACAGGTCGGAAAACAAATGAAGGTATGTAGGTTGAAGGCTTTCTAGGAATCTGTGTCCAATCCTTTGGCAAGTGAGCCACCTGCACACGAAGACATTGACGAGTTGAGCATCTAGACATAACCTACAGTTATGTTACCTACAATAGCCAAGCAGTGGTTATCAAAGTGAATCCTTCTTAGAGGAATCCATCTATACTTTAAGTCAGATTTTAGGAAGGTGAGATAATTTTCCTTATAACAAGTCTAAAAAACTCGTGTTCCGTGCCCTCCTATATACTATTGTCAATATTAATCCGTGCCCTGCTATATAATATTGTAAATATTAATCTGTGTATACGTAGGCTCCCGCGGCTCGAGTTCATGCCGTCTGGGCTGTCCGGGTGACGCCGCGTCGTTGGCAGAGAGACCGACGTTTCGCCTGTCATATCGCAGCCTTCTTCAGGGTAGTGACACTAATGCTCCGCCTCCTGTGCTATATATTTTCCAGCCTAGGTGCTCGGGTAACGCAGGTGCGCCGTAATTAGCATTAATCTAAACAACGCCTGGAAGTATATTGTACCACTAATGCCTGCCTGCGCGGGGGCTGTTCAACACCGTCCGATCTCTAGGACGGCTGGTGCGAGGCCCAGGTTGGCCCAGACCGCGAGCCAATCAGAGGGACCTCTCCGCCAATCACGGCGCACCTGCGTTACCCGAGCACCTAGACTGGAAAAGATATAACACCGGAGGCGGGGCATTTCTGTGTCACTACCCTGACGAATCCTACGATATGACAGGCGAAACGTCGGCCTCTCTGCCAACGACGGGGCGTCACCCGGACAGCCTAGAAGTCAATATTAACCTGTCACCTTTTACTGAACGATTAGGCAAACTTGAATAAAAATTAAAATACAGTGTGTTTTGTAGTAATTGTATAAAACGTACGATATTCGTATTGTAACATTTTATTACGATTCCTCTTTGAGAATTTATTCGTGAACTTTCAATTGAACCATCAGCGTCCGCCTTTTTAGCCTTGTCAATCGCGGCACTCTACAGGCGCAGGGTTGGACTAATTTTAATTATCTCTATTTTGTTGGATGCATTTCAGTCCCAAACAGCAAAATAAATACTAATATATAGGAAAAATCCACGAGATGGCGCTGTAGAACAAAACTAAATATTCTTGTCAAATGCAACCCGCAACATCGTCGGCAGGACGTTTTGAATCTATATCGCCTAAACAAAGCGTTCTAGGGTACTAAAACTGAAATTGTGGGGCCAACGCTTTCAAAGAAACGTTTCACACACCGTAATCTAGAGGTTGACATCTTTTTAAGCATTCTATTTCATTTTTCTTGCGGGAGAGGAGACGAAAAGGGAAGAAGGGAGATGAAGAGAGAATAACGTATACCGGGTTCCTCTAGTTACCAAATAATATACGCTTCATGTAAATGCCGCCAGTTAAAATCCTCGAATCTCAAACTTAAAAAAATATTATTTTATTTTATAGGAATACATAAACTTCATCTCTGGTCGCCGCTTTTAAATGTCTTCTTTTGGCGACAAGACATCCATGACAAACGGTTGTAAGGACTGGCTCGCAAAAATCGAATTTGCAATGTTGAGTAGCTTCTCCCGCAGAAGACCGAAATAGGCGCATTAAAATGAAAATCATATTCCCGAGGCAACACAGCCAACGGAAGCGAGTGCAATAAAGGGGAAACCCAGTGACGCAACAACTCGAGCCGTCGGGTGTGTTTCTGATGTAACCGAAGCTTCTTCCTTCCAGCTTGCAAACGTTTAGTTTGGACTGTTCTTTAGAAAAAAATCTCTGGCTTTATTATCGCGAAATCGGTAGAACTGGTAGAAAGGTGGATTCAGTCAGCAATTGAAACCACCTACATTAAAAGACTAATACATAGTATGGCACTGGCAGCACTGCCTGTCTTGCCTTCAAGGTTGCCCGTTGCGTGCTCCTCGTACAGCTTGCGTGAACACAAACTTTGACCTTCAGGAATCGCCGCCCACAATCAAAACTTTCCTTGTTTCCTCCTCGCTGCTCCTCAATCTGTAAGTAAGTTGAAAGACGCTGAGGTCGACCCCATCCGTTCTGTCGGCCAAAGATAAATTTGGTTGAAGATGTGAAAACAAAAATTTTAGTTCGATTTATTTTTTGTTTATTTTATTTAATAGTTCACGTACTTTGTACAATTGCATTGATCAATGAATTATTTTATAGCTTTTTAAGCCCAGTAGTTTAATTTTTAAATGACTCAAATAAGAGGTAGTTTCAATAATTTGCTTGTTGAAATTTGCCTGTTAGAAATATTTACTACAATAGAAAAGTTTTAAAATTTACATAAATTTACGTACATTTCACGTTCAACATTTCCGTTTAACTGATAGCAAAAAAGGAGAAAAATGCACTTAATAAAGTTCCACAAGCACATGCGTTTTGAATTTTACTTTTTAGATATTCAATGTTTGAAATAATTTTATTTCAGTGATAATTTAATTAGGTATTTCATTCATTATTTAAAAGCTTTAGGTATCCAACACTGCTAACTCCTATCTCCCCCTATGTAAATTAACTCCAAAGTCTTGGGATATCATCTTTGGAATATGGAACAGATTGCTGTAACCCGAGTACATTTTCTTGGTTTCGTTTTCCCAGATGCGAGAGGAGTTGGGATTTTATTATGTCGTCTGCAAGAGATTATTCTTATCACATCTTTGGCTAGATTGTTTTAACATGAATGAACGTGAATGTTTTTAAACGCTACTAGCAGCGCTGCTTATTGTAATTAGAAATGTACTTTCTATGTATGTTAAACGAGACTTATAGACTAAGTTTAACAAAGACTATCGAAGAAGTATTGACAAAACTAATGGCGGCGATGGTGTAACGGTTAGCGTACTGGACTGTTGTACCCAAGTTGCCGGGTTCAAACCCGATCGAAGCCGTGGATTTTTAAGGGCGAAAAAATCCTTCGTACGCCTTCCTTCGGAGGGGAAGTAAAGCCGGCTGTCCCATGTTCGTAGATTTACTTGCATGTAAAAGATCCTCAAGCCTAAATGACGCCTCTGAGCTAAATTCAAATCGCCTGTTTCTCGCCCAAGAAATACCTCCTTTCTCTCCTAGTTGGTGAAAGGAGCGTAGCGAAATTTGCGTGGTCAGACGGAAGAGCGGGCCTGATGGCCCGAGTCTCACCACGTAAAATAAGGCAAATTCAATTCAATTCAAAACTAAGAGTTATTGACTAAAAAACTCAATAGAGCGTGTTTGGATATTCCACCAGCCGTCACATTAATATACATTAATATAGTATTAAAAAGCTTTTCCTCATGGCTATCGTAAAAATGTGATCTACGATTGAGGCAACCACGTGACCGGTAGTGTCTAATGTGTGAGGTGAGCGTTTTGCACACATTTCGTTCTAAGACTATTATAGGGGAATTAGTTCCAAAATATGGCAATAGAGAGTACTGTAACGCTAAATTCCTATACTTTTACGTAGTATCTCTTCTTACATTTGTTTGACCAGCATTGTCCAACAGCATGATGTAGCTTGATAGGAATTTAACGTTAACAGTACACTCTGTTGTTATGAAACAAATAATTTTACCTTTTGCATTTAAACATTTGTATCGATTTTAATAATTTAATGCCATGAGGAAATATGTAATAAATGATCAGATTTGCGTGTGTTGTTAAAAAATTGTTCGTTATTCCTTCCACTGACGGGAATAACATCACGGTAAAATATATTATGTAATAAAAAAGTATTATTATATCCATTCGTTATTCTTCTATTAACTCAATGAGTTGGGCGTTTATATCTAAATCGTAATTTGATGCTAGAAAGACCCCACAACTACGTGCCTGGCGCCCGAGTATGTGGCAACATCTCGCAGCGTAAAACAACGCATTAATACAATTCAATTCAACATCGCTCCACCCCATTCCAGTTCTCAAGTACACAAATATTATTCAGACAATAGTAAGGTTAACGATTAAATGATCATTGGCAGAAAAGATTATCCTGAATCCATGTACACGCTCCAGAAGGTTGTAACATTTATAGTACAAGACCTGCAAAATCACTCTATTCCTACTGTCCGATTTAAATGTTGTGACATGTAGCAGATCATTAGCTGTGACGCGGTTATACAATCGGGAGCTTCAATACCAAAACATTAATGTCGTAACAAAGTTGCTGATTGGATTATCACGCGCTATTAATACAGGCACACGCACCAAAAAATTGCCACTCATAAAGTCTTGACATACGTTTCTCTATGTAAGTCAACGCGCTGAATACCAATCTGAAGCCAGAATTGCGCCGCCATCTTCCAATTTTTTGAATTGCAGAATACATTGTGAAATTGTTAATTGTAATTTTACTGTTTTTTTGCAGTTTTAAAACAACTGGAGGGTGATTCCGCAATCATGGTTTCAGATTCGGAATCACAGCGTCGACAAACACAGAGAAACATGTGTCAACTCTTTGAGTCTGACAACTTTTTTGTGTATGCCTGTGTAATTTGTTACGGGTCGCACAAAGTCTCCAAACAGTTGAAAGCCGCTGACGCTGATGCTATGCTCTCTGTCGGCCGCAGGGAGAAGCAGCGCGGGCGATGTCAGCGCATGCGCGGTGAACGCCGCGCTCCGCAACCCCTCCCCCCGCCGACCGCAGCGCGCCGCAGCCCGTCACGTGACCTCATCGCCTACGTCACGTGCCCTCACCGGCGGCGGCGCCACCACCACCACCATTTCGTCACGTGACCTCATCGCCGGCCACCGGCACTTGTTCCGGACGACAGCGACACCGGCAGCAGCAGCAGCGGCGGTGTGGGCGCAACCATTTCATCATCTCGTGCTGTGGGTGAAGACCACCAGGTGATACGTAATCACTCGCCGGCCAGTCGGAAAACGAGAGGCAATTCTCATTCAAAAATCACTTGCCGCGTTATGACGTATAGTCACATCACATTATTAGTGTTGTGGTGTCATATCATTGTGACGTCGTGTTGCGACGTCACCGTACATCTGACGATATGTAAGACTTGTATCCACTAGTGCGATCTATCCGAGTCCACCAGTTTGGCTAGCACCTACAATTTCGTGCAGGTGAATGATTTGGGTGAGGGTTTGAAGTTTGCAGTCACTCATTCTAAACACATTAGAATGCAACACAAACTTCATCAGAGTTGTGTCTAATGTATTACAACAGACAATACTTGTTCATAATCCATATTTTATTGATATATATTTTATTATTCGTAACCACTATGTAAATGAAGCACGTGTGTACTGAAATAAGGTAATGGAGATTAGAAATCCCTGCCAACACCCAGCTTTGTTCCCGGCCATTGTAGGGTTTTCGGTGCCCAAGGAAGAATGTCAGTAATCTCCACAAGCAAGGAATGCCAACTTCACGCTAATGCGAGTCGCCGCCAAATGAAGTCGATTAGCCAGAGCATCGAGAGGGACTTGCGGAATGTTGCCAACTTTGGAAGACAACTCCCGGTGTAAGGGCAATGCTGCTAAGAAGAGGGGTAGACAGTAACTTTCTTCTGCGAATCCTGTTTCCGTGCGTGCAAGAAATTGTATACATGTGTAGACACGATCCAGCGGGTTCGCCAGCCTGTCAAACGAATCAAGTGGAGACAAATGGGGATGGTAAAAATGAAAATGAGAAATGAATAAAGGACAAGTTGAAGGCGCTGTAGACGGCTGCGATGAGTGATTTCTCAAGCAAAAAATAAACATGATTGCAGTGGGCTGCAATCATACTCGGCAACTGTGAAAAGAACTTATCGATACATTTGTACGCCTTAACACTTTTTTTTAAAATTTAATTGATACGTTTTATCCGCAATAGGGTAACCGTATTTATATACCACTTTAACCAGTGCCGCCAAACTCGCAGTGTTTATGAGAAAATCTTGTAAATGTTTGCAGCCAAATTTCTATTGTTACAAGCTACAGTTATGTAACTTTATTCAATCACGTGTAAGATACAATAATGCATTCTTTGATCTGAAGAGTGAACTATGTTCATACTCACCGTATTGTCTAGTGGTATTACACAGCTGTTGTGCAGTTCATCTGCTACCAAACGTCTCCTTATGATGCCATCTTTAGTCTGGAAGCATTCGTTTATAATATCTACGCATCTTAATCACGATTGCGAAGACTAACGTTTCATTAAAAGAAACTAAGCTAAGATAATTTTCTTGTGTAAAAAAGCATGTGTGTTTGTGTGTATTGGAATTTTTCATGCTGCTGTAGCAAAGACTAAAACAAAAGTTGGAGTTGTCTCATTTACAATGAAAAAAGAAACTTAGTATATGGTACCCTTAAAATGTATCTTCGAATTTACGTTTACATCACATGTTTATGCTTACGAGAAGTATTGTGAATGGCTGTGTTGAAAATACGTATAATTTTGATCAAGTAGCATTCATACTCATTTTTCATTGTGAATGAATCAATGAGACTCCCTTTTAGGTCTCCAAAGATGGTCTGGAAAATGCTTTGCCCGCATGCTTCCTAAGTAGTTATGACAGACTCCACCGTGCCCGAAACTTAAGCAGTATCCAAATTAGCCAGAATTCATCACCATTTTTAATGATTGCAAAAATTGCAAAACATGGAAATGAATCTGGTAAAGCAAAGTTACAAAATTCAACGTCGAATTTTCTTTTTTACTCTTTTTTCGAACGAATGTTCACTCGCTTTCTTCCTGACAACGCCACGTGTATTGAAATAGAAATGTACTGAATGCCATCATGCCACACCAATAATATAAACCTTCTCGGTTGTTTGCGAATTGGAATCTAACGGAATAGTAATAGGTGCTTCTGGTGGTAGTACGAGGCTTTAATACGAGATGTAATTCAAATTCGCACCAAATCATGTATTGCATCAATAAAAATATTAATGGGAATAAATATCTATTGTCCAAGAACGGTAAGGAGATTACGGTAAGGTACATCACGTATACCTTAACGTTCACTGATAAGAGATATACAATTGACGGTATTAAACATAAATCCCAAATAATTCTATATTTTACCAGCAAGCAGTTCCTGAATATTCACTCGTAACAGCTTCTTTTCTTTTCTCCGTAAAAAGTTCATACCTACTACAAATGACCATAATTCATCATTATGATTTCATTTGCATTAAATGGTATTTTAGAGTAGATGACCAATGTGAAATTGTCTCCCCACTACCAGCAAAAATGCCCCTGGAAGCCAGAAGGGAGTTGTTGCTGGAAACAAAACTCAATGTTTCCCCCCTACATCCCCATGTTATCAGGGAATATTTAATGGTTTACTTACATGAATTTCCCCAAATGACTTGTGAAAATAATATGTATCTTGAACGTGTATTCCAAAAATATCAGTTAACCCCTGAAAGTTCATTGTGTGTACAGCCATATCCTTATCAACAAAAGCATAAAAATATACGTGTTGAAAAATAAAAATACCGAACGGGATGTGATGGGAAGAACTAAGTTCAGAACGTTCTTATTCATGTCAGTAAAAGAAAAACTCGATGACGAAGAGTGGCGATGACGAAGAGTGGCGATGACATTGTGATCGTAGCAAGTGAAACAAACATCAGGAGAGAATCGACGGGGAGAGACTGCATTACTTTTTATGGATTTTTTACTAAGTCAACATAATCAAATGGAATCATTGAGTATACAATTTTTTACTTGAACAAATATCAGAAAAATATTGCAATCGCCACAGCACGAACAAGCCTGCCTTTCCTTAATAAGCACGATATGTAAAGTAACATTGACTGGGCGGCTGACGAGGTAGGCATTGTGCTAGACCGAAGTGTGTGGCGGGTTGCTTGGAGAAAAATATCGGAGGGGCACATCATCATGTTACATACAGTACGAGTACGTATATATGTTTTTCTGATCTATATTCAAGCCTTCGAACAATGACATATGTTCAAGGTAAAAAATTGCATACTTAATTAATATATGTATGTGTGTGTAAGAGTGAGTGAGAGAGAGAGAGGACGAGGGGGAAGGGGTCGAAATCTATACATACAAGTGTGAATGATAGAGAAATTAAAAGAAGAGAAATAACAGGAGAGAGAAAGAGATAGATAAGACACAGCCTTAGGGGAGAGACAGAGAGAGAACGTGAACAGCACAATGCAAACGAGTCGCAATAAAATTGAAAGGACGAGAGAGAAAACTTTTGCCCGTAAGGGAAGTGAAGTTAAACCGAAAATATTCCAGAATAACGAAAACGAAAATATTCCAGAGTAACGAAAATATTACTTATATATCCAACTATTAACTAGTCGAACTATAGTTTGTTTAATTCGTATTATGTTCGAATACAATAAATGATGACGCAGAATGTTTTGATATACAGACTGATCTCCACCAAATCTGCTGGGATGAACTTAAAATATTTGTTTGGCATGCAATGACAAAATGTAATTAGACTTAAAAAAGTTTCAAGATTGCACTTGATTCATGTGACGAGACACTTTCGCCACTTCATCAATGTTCTGTGAAGCAATCGATTTCAGCCTGCCTAGTCAGAAACATCATTCTGGTTAAAGAGAATCAGATTCAACTCTACTAAATGCCTCTTATACTTTTGTATAAAAGTATTTGACACATGTCAAAAATGTGTGAGAACGTGCGTCAGGGAATATATATCAGCCTAATCACACACAGTAATTCACGTAGAGTGTTACGTCTTGTTAATTATTCAACCAATGTGTCTCGAAACCACTCGCATAATCGTGGAGCACTGGTAACGAAATTGACCAAAATATTTACTGATATATAACGCAATATATTTGAAACTTGAATAGTGAGAAAATAATATAAACAATATACTATAATACAGTGAAACGGAGTGAAAGATACAAACGCTTATTATGGAAATTTCTGACGGATTATTCGCATTTTGGGAATAAATATTCCATAAATTTGTGAATGTTCTTTGATTAGGTTTACTAAGACACCATATTGTTAAATAGTGCACTCATTATTTACACTAGGGAGTCACAACAATAAGTGCTTACGTGTCTGGCCCCGAAGTGACTTTCCACTGAGAAACACAAATGGGAAACAAAACTTATATTGTCTTGCGAAATTGAAAACGCAGATTCTTAAGTTCCTTTATCTTAACCTCTTAGTAGTCAATGTAACATGCACAACTAATAAAATTTGAGGTGATATAAATTTTTTTATAAAACTTCCACTCTTTGAATGTAAATATTACACCAAGGAAAGATCACCGAGATTGCAACAACAAATATATAGATTTCTGAGACGAACAATACATTATAAGGATATCATAAAGGATTAAATATCCATCTCTCTCGTGACTTGGTTAAGTGTTTTTTAGAATTCTATGGTGAACAAGTTGCAATAAATCAGTATTTTCTTGAAATAATTGTTTAAAGTCATGATAATCTCTATCATTAAATGCTAAGATTATTTAGTTGGTTGTGTTGAAACATTTCTGGTATTTCTAATAGGAGGTGGAAGGAACCTAAAATTCATCAAAATCTATTTAGCCTTCCAATTTGTACAAACGCTGAATGAATGACTTAACAAAAACACAATGCAGTCCGGGAATTTGCGTAATACATCCTACTAATTTTTGCTCATTTATATAGATTAATATAATTAGTATTATAAGCCAGTTATAGTTTGTATGGCATATGTCCTGCAAACTTATAAGATTGTTCAAGCTGATTTGGTAAATTAAAATGCAGTAAATCCAGGAATAGAAATGGTGCTGACTATCTCTTGTTTATTGCAGTCACTACATCTCTCTTCAACAAACGTGTATTATACATCTTCTACACTCCACCATCTCTCTTGTGCTTCTTGTAAATTCTGTACGTCCTCCTAATCACTTTTTGAACTGCACGTCTTGTGCGTCCTCACAAATTATTTTGTGATCTGCGCGTCTCGAACATTCCCTGAAACACTCTTGATCGTGCTGCCTTTGAACTTATCGACCTCAATTGTCACGTATTGAGAAAACTGAGATCCTTAGTCTACTATCGCCGAACATTTGTGAAGTCAAAAATTGTTTCCGCTTTCTGGCTTGGGTGTTTTAGCAAACGTGTACGATTCTGCAAATTTTCTTTGGAGCTCATGAATCCTGGAGAAACGATGCGTGTATAAAGCGTTCACATGTACAGTCCTTGGAAGAGAGCATATTGATCCGCATAATGAACCAGTGGTTCTCAACCAATATTGCATGCCAATTGGATAAGCAAAAGAATGAAGCCAAATATAACCACAACACTTTTTTTTTCATTCGTAAAGACAGTAAAACTGTATGTTGTAACCGAATAACATTTACCATCGGATTACTTATGACTTCAGAAGAATCAAAACTGACTGGTTAGAGCTTCTTAATGAATAGCAGAACAAAGCATCATGACTTCTTTCCTCTACCTTGCTGAATGGCGTTTAACAGTTTTCGTCGCAAACATATTCTGGAAAGTTGGCTTGATTTTCTATGTCAGCGTTTCCTAGTTATTCGCCAACCTTAAGTAGCAGAATTTCTAGTTGGAGTATTTGTATTTTTTTTACGTGAACAAAACGTTCAAATGTGAGATTAAAACTGGGAGTTTTGAAGGAATCCTCTACGTTCGTATTGGAATGAAGTTCTAGTTACTGCAAATAATACGATATTGCATCATAGTGTGTTATAAGTTTGATTCACCACATGGAAAGCTCTGAGGACCGAATGCAGTTCAAAAGCTCGGAACCTTGCAGATGAGTTACTCCAGGTTTATGTACATTAAGGTGCTAAGAAGAGGCTTGAGACATTCGTGCCATGAATAAGGACATCACAGGTTGTAATGTCAAAAGGGCAGCTAAGAAAAAGAAAGACTAGCTAAATATCACATTTATCTGAAATATCACCCACAATACTCAAATTGTCGTAAATACAAGATAAAGCGCATTAAGAATGAAATAATAGGTTGCGCTAAACTTTTGGGTGGTATCAGCTAAGTTATAATACGTTGCTGTCTTTTCAGTAGTCGTCCTCAGAATTTTAATGGGGTTAAATGATTCCTAATAACAAGTCATATATCTCGTAACCCTGTTGCAACAATCATATAATTCTGTTGCAATATCCCCCCTAACATTCAGGAGTTCTGCTCACAAATGATTTCTTCGTCAGTGGTGTAAATAAAAACTAAACCATAATTTCCCCACAGGCTCTAGTATCCATATATTTTGAGCACGGTGTCTATTAATCTCCCGATGTCCTTATATTTAAGTAAACGGGGTGATTTCTATCTTGGTTCGAAAAACACATACGTACATAAAACGCGTGATGGTAGCCAAGCCTGATGCATTGCCTTTGATACAATAATTAAGAACACGTGCATATTTTTACAGTGTTAGATGTTAGAAACCCAATGATGAAATGTTAACTATAACTTTAATATTTACAGGTGAAGGTACCAATAGAAGTTGTAGTCAAACGTGTAACCAAACGATTGAAACGGTCGAGTTCTACACATGGCGATGGTTCTCGCTGTAACACTTGTTATACGGGCGTCTCTTAATTATTCCGACAAACAAATTATGTAGAATATAATTCTTATTTGAGGAAGTTTCGTTCAATCGGTTTCCCATCGATGGCTTTTTATTTCTGACAGAAAAGTTGATTTTTTTTGCTAATTTTGAGAGCTCACTTCTAAACGATAATGTCGCTCAGGACCACTGATGTCCTCCAACAGGGACAGCCTAGGCTTCGTGTCTAGACAGTGGCAGGATTTTTGCCGCTACCCAAGTCAAATTCAGTCGCTGTCTGGAGGAGAATTCTAGCGGCCGGCTGCTCTGATCAGTAGTTTTCCGTGGTTTATCCGAGCAACACCAGGCGAATGCCAGAGTATTACCCCAACAACCGGCCCACAGTCCAACGTGGTTGTTCCTTCCTCTTCCTCGTCCTATCCTCACCTTTTAATTACACATACTTACACTTATATGCACTACGCTATCACACACGCCGGGAGACCAGTCGGGAGCTTAGAGCTTTTCCTGGAAGTGGCGGTGCCGCTCTGGGGGAGATACCTGGGGAGAGAAAACCCAGAAGCCGACGTGTAGGTCGGTGCCATCCAGCGGAAAAAGCTTACCGCCATCTCTCGCGATAAAAGTATAAACTTCACTTACGGATAAGCATAGTAGTTGACCCACCCTGGAATACGAAATTTTCACTCATTCACAAGTTGTTAAGGAGGGGTTATGTCGGCTGCAGAAAGCCCGGCTAGTAGCGACTAGATTTACCTGTTTTAAAGGGACGTGGGTTGGCCTCCTCTCCCAGGTGGTGGGAATGTCGCATCGAGACTTAGCGTTGCCACCTTTATGTGTCCGGAACCACTTGAAGCTCAGCTCTCGGTGTTGCACAGAGCAAACGACCAAGCCAACAGCTAACAATTATAGTTTCGTCGGGAAACCAATTGAAAGAAACTTTTTCAAAGAACAAAAATTGTCTTCGTGATTTTTTTTCTCGAAATAATTAAGGAGCATCATGTATACTTATATACCCCATGGACCAGGTTTCCTTTAGAGTGTTGTAAAATCAAATGCAATTTTGGAGAACGTATAGTCATATCGCAAAGAGTAGACGATTTAGTAAATGTAAGCCCGAAGACTGACTGACTCACAGTTTTATAGAGCTATAAAGGACCTTCTATTTAGCTTTCATCTAACGATTCTCTGAATTTGTTGCAGATGAACATACTTTAATAACCACGTGCATTTAACTAAATTTCTTGAGGATATGCATGTTTTTGCCATAATATATCTGCCGATATTCTACTTTCTATATAAAAACATGTGCATCAGCTGAAAGAAAGTATGTTTTAATCGTTTTAACAGCTCGCTCACAACATTTTGTAAAAATCACCACATTGTCTGTTCATAAACTCAGTCTTTCTACTCTTCAAAAAATATCAACTATTATGGATAGAATTATTACAGATCAATAATTTCTATTATTATTGTTATTATTTTATGGTACTATACATAACCTTTATAGCTCTATAACTCAACATTATTTCTTAGGAACCTTCTGGCAATTCTGTGTTTGTAGAAAGCACTTCCCTCTTTATAAAACTCTCCAATTTGCGTCTCTCATTCCGATTATTCTATTTGTTTTCTTTATTCTGTAATTCGGAAAATATTGTACCTGCTGTATTATGCTCTTTGAATCGCAATTAAAATAATGTGAGTATATAACTTCGCACACTTTTAATCTTCTTGAATAATAATTAACAGAAGTTTTGTCTGATTGAATAGACAATTCGCATTCTCTTCAATAATGAAGATGTTACCATGTATTATATTCGTTATGTACAGTTGTTGCTCATTTTGTGTTGGACATATAAAATTTCTGAAATGAAAATTGTGATTTAACTAACGCGAATTTTAGTCACTTTTCAAGTGATCATGTAGTGTGATTTATTACAACTGTTAAGGAGACCAACCACCATCTGTGATGTAGCAATGTTATGTAAAATGATAGAACTTTTTTGTGAATGAAGCATGTGCAAAAAAAGTGTGATTGTAAAGAAGAGAGCAATAAACACAACTCTGTGTCATGTTTCACCAAAAGAGGTGATAAAAAACAATATGAAATGAAATATTTGTGAATATTTGCTTCATTGAAACCACTTTCAAGTCTTGTGCGACAAACGACGATATTTTCAGTGTAGATGCACTACAAGTTCTCCTTACTAATGTTGCTGGGGTACTATGAGTCTGATATGCCGACGTCTTTCTGGTTAATGGCGATGAAACTTGAAAACAATTAAATAAAAACAGTTGTGTGTGTTCTTTAACTTTAAAAACTAGATGTGTGTGTAATTTGTGCATGGCCACCTATTTGTCGAGAAATGAAATACTTAGTAATTCATATACCATAGCAAACACTGTCATTATGAATTAAACTGGAACTCCTGACCGTCTTTTGCGAAACGCATGAATTCATGCGGTTTGTAATCAGGCCATGTACGTTTTGCAGCACGCAATTTATTAAATAATTTACAAATAATTCCTTCAAATGCTTTCGGTAAGAATCCAATTGTTGAAATGTATTAATTCAATGTATTTTACTTGTAACAAAGATAATATTTAATGGATTATTTAGATGACACGACCTTAAAGACGTCTGCCTAAAATTTACATCCTAAAGAATAATTATCGTTTCGTAATCGATGCGTTTCTTCCCATGATTTAATTAAAGGGCTTGGAAAATGTATTTCTAACACGCTATGTGCGAATCACGGTTCAGCGGGTGCAAAACAGATAGTTTTTCATTCTAACTAATAGTGTGCGAAACATTACGAAGCCTGTACGAAGTTACTTTGTTTAATATTCACATACAAGAGAGATCAATATTGGATCAAACCCGTTTACTTCTGTAATATTAATTTTGCAGAAGGCTTAAAAAAACGTGTCCCTCATGGCATGTTAAACATTATATATTTGCAACACGCGCGCACGTGTTATGTACCTTACTATATTGGTTTTGCCAAATTTTTGGTTTAGTAAAAAATTGAGACCTCAATATTCTTCGTTCCGCACATAAATGAACTCTATCAAAGTGAATTAAAGGTAAAATGCAATAAACTTAAAGTGTTGAAGTTCAATTATCGAATCGCCTTTATAACGTGTGTTTAGTAGTTCCAAATCTCTAAACAAACAACGTGTTAACAATCGAAAATATACTAGAATTTAGTAAAATAGGTAGCGCACGATATCTCAAAAGCTCCATTTTTCTAAAGAAATTTCAAAACCACAGGTGTCAGCATGGAAACAATCAAAGACGTTTAGATTTCGGTGACAGAAAGCAACCCTACAATGTGTTTCCACAAACAATCGTTCAGAGCTGTTTGTGAGGTTTTATTAGCCTTCATGCATGAAAACGAGTACTTATATTTACAGTTTATTGATTCGATGGTGTAACATTGTCATACATTTACTGCAAAGCAACATTTTCCGAGACCCAAAATGCAAAGTAAATAAAACGTATCCTTAATATAAACTGACATGATTGCCATAAATTCGCAAAACAATAATGTTTGCGAAATTCTTACGAACGCATTCAGATTTCAAACTTTCAGCCTTAGTTTCTGTTGGCTCTCGTCTGTCAACATTCGCACTCCAAAGATTCATTTTCTAGGCTAGTTGTGTAAATAACTATTAAAGATACGTTTGGTTGCTTTCATAACTACGTTCCAAACAAAAATTATGTTCTTCTGTTTTGCATCGGGCTGATGTGAAGCCCAAGAATGTTCAATCTGGGAAGAAGCTAAATACGAATGAGATGCAGCAGGCTCAAATAACTTGTCTTATAAAATTGAAGTTCTAGGGATGTATGACACGGTACGTAACGTAAGGAGCACTCAATAAATCGCATATGTGTTGAACTCGCTTGAAAAATAACATTTGTATGTATTGTACTCTCTATAATCAGTTGTAACCTGCAGGCCAGCATGGGCAGAAGGAAGCAAAAGTGATTATTACCTGTGTTTTGGTGGGAAATCAGGAAACCGCACATTGAAAAGATTAATTTTTTTGCGTTTAGGAGAAAGTTATCGTTGTTTTTCTTAGTCTTCCAAAATAAACATTTTAACATCTTTTTTATTTAAAGAGTATGGTTTTTATCTGAAGAAACAAGTCCTGCAATCTAAAATTATTTATCCAGTTTTTCATTCAAAAAAGTGCATTATAGTGTCTTAAGTATAAATATATTTTTAAAATCCTTAACTCATTTTTTCGTGGTCGATTTAAAAAATCGAATAATTTAAAGACTTTTTTCAATGCCTTAAACAATTAAAAACACTGTTGCAAGGTGAGTGATAGGCTCGTTTAAAATGTGTTCAGAATTTGGATTAAATCAAATTAAAATTGTAATTAATTAAAATGTAAATTACGAAACTTTTTCAATTTTGTTCAGCTCTTGTCGTATGCTCTTCATGAGTTCTTAATCAGCAATCCTATTTCAATGGGAATTTGAATGTTCACAAAGTAAAACGTTACTATAAATGTGCACAAATATGCTAATTTAAGCATAATTTGCCACATAAATCCCCATTGCAATTTGGATGCAATAAGATTGTAGGTACAATGTATGGCCATACTTTCAAGGTGCGATTTCTACGCGTCTATTTGAAGATGTATTTACTGTTTTCACAGAACAAAAGAAGACGGATTTGTTATACTCAATGCCTATAAATATATTTTTTGCTGCCCATGTAAACCTGTCCGTTGTTCAGACGGGAAAATGTCATGACAGCGGACTTCAAACAACGATCCAAAATTACGTTCGCCGCAGCCACATGTAAAGGTAACTACAGACTTCATTGTCTTCATTGATATAGAAATGAATTCGAACTGGAGAAAGAAATGAACGATATTGCTATTTGATTTGCGAAGTTGCCATACAATTGAAAATTTTATATATTTTACATTTTGCTATAATATAACTAAAACTGTTTATATGAAAGATAAAAATTCGTGTTATTATTCCAAAATTGCTAAAAACAATACCAACAAATTGGAATAATCTCACGTAAAATAAACATTTTTTTTCAAACCATTCTTTCAAACCATTTCGCTACAAAATGTGTTTAATCTGCAGTATGAGTGTGCTTAATATGGAACAAAAGTATGTACGTGTGTATTTATCATTTAGAACCCAAAAATGTTTTGTGCATTCAACGTGAATAAATTTTCATTTTTTAGGGACTTAAAATTTAAACAAAATAACTTGCGATATAGACTTCCTCGCCCAATACACAAAGCTTCTAAAGAG